CGATCCTCCAGGAGCAGCTGGAGCATCGCACAGACGCTAGTACGCATGCATGCGCCGCACGCATGCGTGAGGATGCCGCACATGTGCGTGAGGACGCCGCGCGTGTGCGCGAGGACGCCGCCGACCTCGTTCCAACCGAACCGGTTGGAACGGGGCGAGAAACCCACCCCTGTGTAGCAGGGACACATCAGCTGGTGGGAAACAAAATGGAAGGCAAACAATATCTTTGGCTGCTCACAAAGTACATTCTCAATCTATATTTGGCTTCCTCCAATCATCCATTTCCTTTACTTTAAAAGAAGAGACTGGCATGATTTATCAAGTCTGGTCTGTCATCCAGGCGTTTCAGATTGCCAGGTTCTGACCCAACAAATTATTATTATTTTTTAAAAAAGAACACCCCTTTTGTTGGCTTGCAGGAGTAGATCAGTCTCTATTCCACTTGTTTGTTTGTTCGAACTTTACTTCCTTGATTGAGATAAGCAAAAAAAATTTCTAAACTAACTCAGCCAAAACAAAGGCTAGACAACAGCTTTGCCCATCCTGGGTCTGAAATGTACCTTTGGTGTTTAATTTGGCCTCATTGAGTATCTTCTGATGTGTCCCTGTGGCTTCCTGCAGTTGGACTGTTAGAGTAAGCAGGGACCTCAGCTCTCTGCCATGAAGACTTGCTGAGTTCATCAGTTTCCCCCCAGGAGATGGGTCTTAACATTTAACCCCCTTTTCTGCTAAGACAACAAGAAAGGAAGCTAATCTCCTTTTAAGAAAGACACGTGACCTTCCTCCAAGCACCGGAAACTTTGATGAGGTCCTTTGAATTTGTCTGTGTTAAGAAGTTTGAAAAGGGCTGGCTCAAAAGACAGCAAGGAAGTCAGAAGGGTTGGCTCTTCTTCTCTTTATTGTTATTTTTTAATACATCCTAGAGTTAGTCTCTTTTGAATTTTGGATTGTTGTTTTTTTTAAAAAAAAATGTAAGGAGAAGATGTTTGTTTTCCCAGAAGTGGCATCCAGAGAAGAAGACGGTTTGGTTAAGGATTATTCTGGGTTTTAGATCTGCTGTTCTCCAATTTTGTACCATTATGCCTACACAACTCTTTTAATTCTAACAACTCTACACATGGAGCTGCACAGATGTACACACACATCTTTCTTACAAAGGAATGAGGATTGATGTAGAAACATAACATGGGAAAAACTTAATTGTAAATACTATGGAGAAGAAAAACACCCTCAGAACAATTGAACAATACACAACAACAACAACAACAACAACAACAACAACAAAAACAAGAAGAAGAAGTTGCAGTTTCCTGCTGTAGTGTCAGTGGAGCTGCAAAAGACTGTGCTACTCGGAACAACATACATTTTAAGAAGATATTTGGTTGATGCCTAGCATGCTGGCAGCAACCTTATCAACCACCAGAGCCAGTCAATGGTATTTGTGATACATTTTTAAATGTTCAGTTGACTGAGTTCCATGTTTAATGAATAAAAGAGATAATAATAAAATGAGAGGATGAAGATCTTGTGGGACTTTCAAATACAGACCGATTGTCATTTGGAGCACAACACGCCAGAAGATCTTGTGGGACTTTCAAATACAAACAGATCGTCATTTGGAACACAACATGCCAGATATCATGGTTGTAGAGGGCCAAAGTGTACAGTTTATTGATATCGCTGTTCCTGGAGATGCCAGAGTCGAAGAAAAAGAACTNATATGCTGACTCTGTAAACCGCTTAGAGAGGGCTGAAAATCTATGAAGCGGTATATAAGTCTAACTGCTATTGCTATTGCTATCATGTTATAGATAATTTTAAGGTAGCAGGATAAACATTACTTGCATTACAATCTACAGAATTGTATACCAAACGTCTTAGGAACTGAGTGAATAGAGATGGCGTACAACTGTTCATTTAGCAATTGTTACAGGGACACGGGGAAAAAGTGGTTTATAAGTAGTCCTTGCTCTTATATCTATGGCAGCATGATAAAAATTTGGGCACTTGATAACCAGCATGTATTTACGGTTGTTTCGGTTTCCTGGGGTCACCTGACCTTCCCAGCTAGGTCCAACAAGCAAAGTGAATGGAGACTCACTTAACAACTGCATGATTCATTTAACAACTGCAGTGATTTACTTAAAAACAATGGCAAAAAAAGGTTGTAGAATCGGACATAACTCACTTAACAATTTCCTTGTTTTATAACAGAAATTACAGTCCCAATAGTGTTCAAAGGTTGAGGACTACCTGTATATGGCATCCTTATTTCCATCAGATAATAAATTGGATCTGCTGTTTTGCCTTATGAAAACTGCTGTTAATTATCTGATTTCAGACCCACTGTTACTACCATGGAAATGTTGAAGGCGTTCCAGATTCTCTGCTTGCTCTCAGTACCTGTGATGGCCTTAGGTATAATCCTTCTTTTATTTCTGTCAGTACCTGCAGACAAGTAGTTTTCAATACAACAAGAAAGTGAGGACTGGGGCACTTTCATATCCTGTGCTAATTTAAAATCAACTCTGCAAGTTTTGTTGAGATATTTCTGACTCGGCTGTGGTATAGTTGAACCTACTGTGTTGTTTTGTATCCTGTTTCATCCAATCTTTGCTTCTGAGCTTTCACTCAAATAAGGAGAACTTATTTTAATTCCTTTTTGTTGTTGTTAGTTGTGAAGTCGTGCCCGACCCATCGTGCCCCCCCACATGGACAATGTTCCTCCAGACCTTCCTGTCCTCTTACCATCCTCAGGAGTCAATTTAAGCTCACGCCTACTGCTTCAGTGACTCCATCCAGCCACCTCATTCTCTCTCGTCCCTTTCTTCTTTTGCCCTCAATCTTTCCCAGCATTAGGCTATTCTCCAGTGAGTCCTTCCTTCTCATTAGGTGGCCAAAGTATTAGGTGGCCCATTTTCTCTGGCAGAGCACTCGGGCCACCACAGGTGCCACCGACACGAGTGAACGTTAATCTGGCCACGCCCACCCTCGCCATGCACACACTCAATGAAATCGGGTTTGACATCCCTGCGATAGTGGATTGTAGCAGTAGCTTAGAGCGGGCTAGTGATTTTCCCCCCTCCCAGTATTTCAGTTCAGCAATAGTGAAAATAATCATGGATCATCTTCATGTTACTTTTGAAAGTTTGAAGGTTCCAGATGTGTTAGGATTGTAATTCTTCAGATTCCTTGGTTTTTAGCTATACTGACTGAGAGTTCTAGCACCAGGACAAGGCCAGGTTGAAAAAGGCTGATAAGAGACAGTGTGTTGATACTGGTGCAAATAAAAATATGGTTTACATCTATTGCCTTCCAGTATTTGCTGAAGAATAACTCCCAGTAGCCACAGCCAATAGGGACAATGGTGAAGGAGAATGGGAGAGAGTATTTCTGAAACTTTTGGAGAGCCAAATGTCCCTGTGCCTAATTTATATTATTGCAATTTTGGAAACTCATCTGGTATTTCAAAATGTGTATACGTCTAGAAATTTTTGCCAGAATTGAATCTGACATTAATTCTCCCTATACAGTTAGTCCTCAACAGCAGTTCAGTTAGTGACCGATTGAAGTTACTACCACCAGTGGTGGAATTCAGCCAGTTCGCACCTATTCGGGAGAACTGGTTCTTAACTTTCTAAGAGGTTCAGAGAACCGGTTGTTGGAAGAAATCTTCTTTTGGTTTTTNCCGGGTCCACTGGTGGAACCTCTTCTAACCGGTTCGGTCGATTTGACGAACCGGTTCTACCGAATAGGTGCGAACTGGTAGGAACCCACCTCTGGTGTATGTGTATACACACACACACACATTTTATTTTTAGATGCATCTAAGTTGCAGAAGATAAAGTAAACATACAGTATGTTAAATGTCAAGCCGGACTGAGCTGTTTGATTTATTTTCTGGTTAAAAAGTAAGCATAACTGTACCAGCATAAGGTTTTTTTTTGTAAGCAACAGTACCATTTCAAATAATTGGTGAAGTACATGTCAAATGCTCTTTACGCATATATATATATATATCTGATTATATTTCAGGAACACTTAGATGATCAGCTATCTTACTTGATCCAAACTGGAAATGGAACACACATTCTGAAATTAAAGAAAAATAAGTATGTTGGATGCAGTTCTGAATCTTTTTTCCATTTTATTTTAACTATTTTTTTTTTGGAAGGATATGAGAATTTCACTAAAATAAGCAGTTTGAAAAGTGAAATACAATAGAAGAAACCCTTTAAAGAATGGCATCAGATATTAGAGATATAGAGAGAGAGATCAGATATTGAGTAAAAAAAATAAATCCAGAATATTCTTTATCTCACCAGAACTGAGAAGTCATGCTAGATTGTGGGCTGAAATAATTTTATTGTAGGTGCCTGCGGAAAGAAAATATTTTGGGTGTGGATCCTATGTTTTATGAGCAGATGTTATCAGAATGAAAAGTTTTGTAAAATGCAGATGGCTTTTGCAGATGAGAAGCAGATGGGACTTCTGGAATCCATAGTCTAGCTGAACTGGATTTAATTCAATGGCCCATTAGGTCATCCAGTGAAAATGATACAAGTCTTCCTTGTCATTTCAGAACATTTAAGGACAAAGCATAACAAACAAAAAATACGAGGGACAAGTTAAAGCATTACTTGCTAATAGTATCTTGATAAATACATTGTCAGTTAGGATCTGGTGCAGTGGTGGGTTTCAAAAATTGTTGGAACCTACTCTGTGGGTGTGGTCTCCTTTGTGGGAGTGGCTTGCCACCCATGTGACCGGATGGGCGTGGCTTGCCACCCATGTGACCGGATG